GCAGGCGGCGGCGTGGGTGTAGGCGGTGCTTCGCCGGTGTGGAGGAAGAGACCGGCGTGGGCGTTCGAATGGGGGCGAAATATTTTGGCAGTGCGCGCTCGGCCTATATAGCATAAACGCATCACTGCCCAAGCAAGCCTACAACTGACAGTGATGAGATGCAACACAGCCGGTTCCACGTACACTTTATGTAGACTTAGTTTGGTATGTAGACTTAGTTTCAAGTTCCTAACGAACTCGTACAAGTAGACACTAGTACAGAAACAAGCTGTACTCTCGGTTGGGAAACCTCTTCAGTCCCGGTTTCCCAACCGGGAGCACGAATCCAGGATTAAAGGGCCCCTTCTTTAGTCTCGGTTTCTCGCTCGGGACTAAAGGTCCACCTTTAGTCCCAGTTGGTAATACCAACCGGGGCTAAAGAGGCATCCCGGCCTGGCCACGTGGGTCGGCCCTTTAGTCCCGGTTGGTATTACCAACCGGGACTAAATGTTTTCTTTTTTTCTTTCTTTCTATTTTCAATTGATGATTCGTTTTGGTTTTCGAATAGGTTTTCGAATACGCATTCTACGCTGCTAATAATATACGTATTCTACACGCTTATAATGTTCGAACATTTTGTACAAACTAAAGTATGAAACTAACGTATATATTACATGCATATACATATATTGTACGTTATTTTATGTACATATAATATGTATATATATATTACAAATAAAGCTTGCATTGTATATTCTATCATATCCTTGGGATAACAAATTCACTCCATCTGGTTTGGCTTCCATGTTTCGTTCATGTCATTGTAGAACTCGCCGGCGGGGTTTAAGACCTGATCATTAAGAAATCCTGGTATGGTCTCTTGAATTGCTTTCAGTTGGTCACATCGTATGACTTTTTCCTTCAACCATAGAGTCTTCAATAAAAGTTAAAGGAAAAGTATTAATATATATATGTGTGTGTGTGTGTTGGTCACATGATTACTTATATATATGAGCAATAAAAGAAATTGTGAATATATGAATATATTTATATAACGTACTTTGAGGATCTCTTCAGGAGTTCTTTTTGCGTACGCCATGATGAACTCGCAAATATAGTATCCGCAGTAGTTGGTCCCCTGTTCTTGCCTCAAAACCACTTTTACGAGAAAAAAGATCCGGTGAATTGAAAGCATGCGTTGTGTTAATTGAATTATATATATATATAAATGTAGCTAGTACTTACTTTGTGTGCGATTACATCCAGTGGTGCTTTGCAATATTTCATGTGGTGTTCCTCAATGAAACTTTTCCAAACACTGCGCCTAATAAAATAAAAAATTAATTTGGCCTCTAATAATTGTTGCAGTTAAGAGATCGGGGTATATATAGTTGCTAGAGAGACCAAATTACCCTTGGATAATATCTATCATGTCTTGGTACTCTGTTTGCTCTTTTCTTAATGAGTCTAAGATGCTCAACCGACTATTGGTCATATCGATGACCATCAATATCCAGTGATTGCTACATATGTTTTTATACACAAATATGATTGACATTAACTAGAGTCAACATATATATATGGGAGATAGCTTAGCTAGTAAGCAAATAATTGAATAAATGTCCATATGGTCGACATTAATTATTTAACACTCACTTGAAGTTGTAGGGGAAGAGTATGTCCTTGTTTTGTTGGTTCACTAAGAACCTCATGAGATTTTTCTCGAGTTCAGCTTTTCATTCAGGCGAGGGATTAGGGTGTTTGAATAAGACATTTGGATCAACGAAACCAACATCATTATGCTTTCTCTTTCTGAGTTCTGTCATCTCATATCTGCATATATAAAAATATAGTGTGAGGATATATAATTTATATATATATGTAGCTTTATATATATACACTTTAATAGTAGAAAATAATCACACTTACAGACAATAGCAGCTAATGAGACTTTTATCGAGAGAGTCCAGGTGGCATAGTTGGTGTAATTCTAAAAACTCGACATATATAACGTCATCGCCACGGAAGTAATGTTGGTTTCTAACTCTGACAGAAACAAAGTTCTCTCCCCGTTCACACGCCGCCATGTACCACTTGTTTAGCAGGTACATTTGCGTACCCAGTTCACCTAAGGCCTCGGGGTTGTATAGACTCTTTCCATGTTCAAACTTCTTCCAAGGATCCACTTTCGGAGCAGATGGTCCTTCAGCGAGCACTTGGGCAAGGTCCAAACCAGTATCCTCATAAAACCGAACCAGGTCCTCAAAATCGACGTCCAGTAAGTCTAAGTTTGAACCATATTCACTACGAATGACAAGAGGGGGGACTGATTGTTGTGATTGTTGTCCGAGTTGTGCAACACCTTTCCCTGCTCTAGTCTTTTTCTGCGTCGCCTCAAATGACTTGGTGAGAGAGCAGTCGTAGTCCGATTTTGGTAGGGTCTTTTGAGATTCCCGCTTTTTCTGGTCCACCTTCTTTCTTAGAAGATCTAGAGGTAGGTAGAAGTATGGTTTCTCCGGGTTCTCCCTCGCTTCTCGTTGCTCTCTTACTTTTTTGAAGAAACTATTGACATCTTTTTGTACTGCAACATTTAATTCCTTTTCACTTTTCTCGTAAGACAATTTTTGGGGAATAACTGGATTAGAGGAGGCTTTCTTCTTTGCCGGCTGGTGGGCCAATGGCTTTGTTTGTGGGGTGGACCTCTTAGGAGCTGGCTGCTTCTTGGTCATCAAGGGAGGCGGGGCAGCCGTTGGCGACCTCCTTGGAGGCGTTGGAGACCTCCTTGGAGGTGGCGGCGGTGGCGACATTGCATAATCATTGCGTGGAGCACTATGATGATCTGGAGATTGAATAATTGGACTTAGGTTGGCGGGGGCCCTGCTGTGTGAGTACAAAAAAGAATAATTAGGTATAAGAAATTGTTATTATTAATCATGCATGTCAATAGAAAATTGGTGAAAAATTTGTTTCGTTCACTTTTGTCCACACCTATTGTCTGGCAGTTGAGGAAGCGGCGGTGGACTAGAGACCCCAGGAATAATGATGTAGCGCTTGCGTCATAGTATGAATGTCTTCTCTGCTTCTCCTAGAGTCTTATCCCCATCACCTCCTGGAATGTCAAGAGCCAGATCACTAAAACCTTTGTTAACTCTATCCACTGAGACGCTAACATATCCAGGTGGTATTATTGCCCCATGGATTCTTGGTGTCTTGGTAGGATCTGGAGGAGAAAAAACACCGAGAGCCACCATGATTGTGGCATTCTCTTTTGGAATATGTAGCTCACATGATGTAAATGGTGCAGTGATGTCATCCACGGGGAAACGTAGCATTACGTCATCTTGATTTGGCAACTCCGTGGAAGCGCAGCTGCTTTTCAACTGATCAGGAGGGCTAATATTAATGTTGATTCCTGGATCTGATGCCTGCCTTTAGGCACTCATTGCTATTTGCACTTGCTTTATGATTTCATCCTGCATTCTAGCTTGCATGTCTTTTTTGCGCTCCTGTGCTTAAAGCAACGCCTCCCGTGACTCACGAACATATTCCTCCAACCTGCTGATCCACGCTGCTTCCTCATCCTTCCTTCTCTGTCAGCTTCTATAGGTATCTCTGTCGTTAGGGAAACCATGCTCCCAAGAAATGTTCTATCCTAAACCTCTCGTTCGGCCACTGTGTTCAGCAGTCTCGATGGCATACATCAGTTCATCCTTCTCTCTATTGGGCCTGAACACACCAATAGCTTTAGCTTGTAGAGCATAAGAAAATCTTTGTGTTGCTCTTTCGAGTTTTAGGCCATGAACTAGCTTCCCATACTCTAGGTCTAGTCTTCCCCCATGAGCGAAAAAACAATTCTTCGCGTGTTTGGCCCAATTGAGTGATTCTGGTGTGATACCCTTGGCAAGAATGTCCGCTTCCATTTTTTCCACTTGTGAATGGTAGTCGCGTAGCCACCTGATCCCATGCCATGGTGGTATACCTTCTGTCGGACATTCTCTTGATAACTTCTCACCCGTTCCTCACCCTCTTCCGATGTCTTGTACTGTACAAAATCATTCCAGTAGGGCCTCAACTTCACGAGCGGGCCCCTAGTATTGAAATTGGGTGTTAGGTTCTTCTTGACGTATTTCGTGTATAGGGGTTTCTTCCAAGTCTGGAATTGTGTGGCCATCTTCTTCATAGCCCACTTTCGAACTAGCTCCTTCAATTCATCATCATTGATATCATCATAATCATCCGCTTGCAACGTGAAATGTTGAAGGATATCATCCCAAATTAAATTCTTATCAAAATCAGAGACAAAACTAACATGAGGCTCGTTGATCTTTTGCTTCCATTCACAGGCACTGATCGGAAGTCTGTCCCTTATAAGGTACCCACAGTGTTGCACGAATTTCCTTGCATGTGGACCAAGTGGTTCACCTGTCTCAATATTGAATTCCGATATTATGTAGCACCCCTCCAATGGCTTTTTCGGGCCTCGAATATTTTTGCTTTTCGCCATTGTGGTCGTCGATCCAAAGGGCTACGTATAAAAAAAGAATAAATAAATATCATGTGTACACATAATAGATGATAGATATTCATATATATATATAATATTCAAATATATATATATAAATATATATACCTCGCCAGTATTTTCTTGCACAATATTTTCTTGGTTATTTTCAAGAGCCAGGTATTGACTCCTGTCATCTACATCCTGCTGGTCACCATCGGCAAATTGAGTGCCGGTGTTGATAATATCCATCATTTCTTCATCCATGTTGTCTCTTGGGGCAGCCATCTAGCTTTTACACCACTAGATATATCTATAAAAAATAAAAACCATATATCTATAAAATGGATCGAGTCATGTGCTTAAAATTAATTAAATAACTACACTCGAAATTCATGTCTCCAAAGCATAACTTTGATTTCTTATTTTCTAGAAATATTTATTGCAAGTGATATATATAACAAATTTATATATATAACCCGTGGCCGCCGGCGTCAAGCCGTTGACGTGAACACTACAAATGGCACATATCAGAAGGAAACGCCGGCGAGGGAAGCCCTGCCTTAGCGTGTTCGTGTTTCACTTTTTCTTCGATAACGTTTGCTTACAGAGACCAGGCATATGTATGCCATAAACAAGACATTGGCCTAGGGCCCACATGACAGACACTGAGTACAAAGCAAACAATGAAAATACACCAAGCTAATAGGAAGACGTCTTAGTGTCTTGTTGTCTCACCTGTGACAATTGGCGAGGCGGGCTCGGCGATGGGGAGGTTGGGCGCGCCGCGGAGGCTGTCGTGGTGGACGAAGCGGGGCGCAGAGGGGCTGGTGGCGCTGTCAAGGACGAGGACGAGGAGGGTCCAGTGGGAGCCGCCCTTGGAGACGGAGGCGTCGGGGTTGTCGTTGACGGGGAGCAGGACGAGGCGCAGCGGGTCGGCGACAGCGGCGACGGAGTCCGGGTCGGGCAGGTTGGAGAGGAGGTAGGGGATGGAGGGCGGGAGCAGGAGGAGGTCGTCGCTGTAGAGGCCGGCGGAGAGGTGGGCGAAGTAGAAGGCGATGATGCGGTCGTTGATGAAGCGGGGCCCATGGAGGATGGCGAGGTCAGAGCGGATGAGCTCCACGTCACCATGGCTGAGCACCCACTCCGTGCTCCAAGTCTCGCGGAGGAGGCGCACAGGGTTCTACAGCGGTGACGAGGGCGGCGGCGGCGGCAGTGGCGATGGGCGACTTAGACGAAGAGTGAGGAGGAAGAAGAAACGGTCGCCTTATATAGGGGAAGGACCTTTAGTCCCGGCTCCTGTAAACGCCTGGGACTAAAAGACCTTTAGTCCCGGCTGGTAATACCAGCCAGGACTAACATTTAGTCCCGAGACGGGACTAAAGGTGTATTTTGGCGGGCCGCAAAAAATGCAACCCACCTTTAGTCCCGGGTGGTAGATCTACCCGGGACTAAAGTTGGGCTGCAGTTTCACTTCCCGCCCATTTCAAGCTCCATTTGTTTTTTTATATATTTCTTTCTATAAAATGTTAAAGTCTTGTTAATTGCACAGTAAATTAAATACAAGGCATAAAATTATTTTAAAAGAATATGGATTTACTTTTGCTTTATTGTACATAGGAAAATTGTGTGACCTAAAGTTTTTTGTTTTTTCTTATAAATATTGAAACATAATGTCATTAATAATTACTATTTCGTTAATGCAAAAATGTAGTGTTTAATTTAAATCATTAAAACTTTTGTTTTTGATTGGAAATTTGTTTTCACAACATTTTAACGTAAATCTTTTTTTTTCATCACTCATTGCCCAAAAGCAACATGGAAATTCCACCATCAAACACAAATTTAATCTGAACATAGAAAAAAAGGAAACACCTAATAAACATCTCTGAATTCACAATTATTACATAATACCTCTAATACACACTATTAAACATCACTATATATATCAAGCGGGCACAATAGTGAACGTCTTCTTAACGTATATCCCTTGGTTATGATCGCGCTGTAACCATGGAGTGTCCTCATCATTTAGCTGGATGCTTGGGCCTTTGTTCACTGTGAAGGGTGGAATTCGGTCATCCTTTTCATAATCTTCTGATATGTCTGACTTGTCTTCAATTCCGATAATGTTTCTTTTCCCTGAAAGAACTATGTGGCGCTTTGGCTCATTGATTGGGTCGTTGTTGTTTTTCCCTCTCTTCAGTTTTGTAGACATGTCCTTAACATAGAACACCTGATTCACATCCTTGGCAAGGACGAACGGCTCATCTTTGTACCCAATATTGTTGAGGTCCACGGTTGTCATTCCATACTGGTTGTCGACTGCTACCCCGCCTCCAGTCGCCTTTACCCATTAGCACTTGAACAAAGGTACCTTAAAAGTAGGTGCATATTTTAGTTTCCATATCTGCTCTATGCGGCCATAATATGTTTGCTTATTTACATTAGGGTCGATGGAATGTATGCGGACACCACTGTTTTGGTTGGTGCTCCTTTTATCTTGGGCTACTGTGTAAAATGTATTCCCATTTATCTCGTACCCTTTGTATGTGAGGATATGCCACGATGGCTGCCTAGCCAACAAATACAGTTGCTCATCAATACTCTCATCACCCTGACATTCTTTTCGCAACCAGTCGCTAAAAGTTTCCATGTGCTGACGTGTAATCTAAGCTTCAGACTTCCCTAGAAACTCGGATCGGAGCAACTCTTTATGTGTCTCGATATACGGATCCACCAAGGAGGAGTTTTGCAGAACTGTGTAGTGTGCTTTATTAAAATAATTGTCCTGCGTACCAATATATGGTTTCTTCCCTAGTGTCCCCTTTCCACTTAGTCTCCCCTCATGTCGCAATTAAGGAACACCAATCGGGTCAAGGTCGGGAATAAAGTCAACACAAAACTCAATGACCTCCTCTGTTCCATAGCAGTTAGCAATGCTTCCTTCTGGTCGAGCACGGTTGTGAACATATTTCTTTAAGACTCCCATGAACCTCTCAAAGGGGAACATGTTGTGCAGGAACACAGGACCGAGAATGCTAATCTCCTTGACCAGGTGAACTAGGAGGTGTGTCATGATATTAAAGAAGGAAGGAGGGAACACCAACTCAAAGCTAACAAGACATTGAACCACATTATTCTGTAGTTTAGCTAGTTCCATTGGATTGATTGCCTTCTGAGAAATTGCATTGAGGAATGCGCATAGCTTCACGGTGGCTAGACGTACATTTGGAGGTAGAATTCCTCTTAATGCAACTGGAAGCAATTGCGTCATGAGCACGTGGCAGTCATGGGACTTTAAGTTTAGGAATTTCTTCTCTAGCACATTTATTATACTCTTTATATTCGAGGAGAATCCAGATGGTACCTTGATGCTTGCTAGGCATTTAAACATGCTTTCCTTCTCTTCTTTGCTAAGAGTGTAGCTGGTAGGACTTAAGTAATGGCGTCCATCATCTGTCTTCTCTGGATGTAGGTTGTCTCGTTCTTTCAAACACCGCAGGTCCTGTCGTGCTTCAAGTGTGTCCTTAGGCTTCCCATACACACCCATGAAGCCTAGCAGGTTCACACAAAGATTCTTTGTCAAGTGCATCACGTCGATCAAGCTACGGACCTCTAGGACTTGCCAATAGGGTAGCTCCCAAAATATGGACTTCTTCTTCCACATGGGTGCGTGACCGTCGGCATCGTTCGGAACAGGTTCGCTGCCATGTGCCTTTCCAAATACTACTTTCACATTCTTGACCATATTGAGTACATCCTCACCAGTTTGGTTGCCCGGCTTGGTCTGGTGGTTTGCCTTACCTTTAAAATGCTTGCCTTTCTTTCTTAGGGGGTGATTCGCAGGAAGAAATTGACGATGGCCAAGGTACACGACCTTTCAACATTTTTTCAAGAATATACCTTTAATGTCATCGAAACAGTGCATGCATACATTATATCCCTTGTTTGATTGTCCTAAAAGATTACTTAGAGCAGGCCAATCATTGATTGTTACAAACAACAATGCTCGCAGGTCAAATTGCTCCTGTTTGTGCTCATCCCACACACGTACACCTGGTCTATTCCACAAAAGTAGAAGTTCTTCAACTAGTGGCCTCAGGTACACATCGATATCGTTGCCAAGTTGCCTTGGGCCTTGGATGAGCACTGGCATCATAATAAACTTATGATTCATGCATAACCAGGGAGGAAGGTTGTAGATACATAGAGTAACAGGCCAAGTGCTATGACTACTACTCTGCTCCCCGAAAGGATTCATACCATCCGTACTTAAAGCAAACCTTAAGTTTCTTGCGTCATTTGCAAACTCTGGGAATTCTCTATCGATTGCTCTCCACTGGGACCCATCAGCAGGGTGTCTCAACATATTATCTACCTTACAGTCTTCTTTGTTCCATGGCAACAACTTTGCATGGTCTTTGTTTCTGAACAGACGTTTCAAGCGTGGTATTATAGGAGCATACCACATAATCTTGGCAGGGATTTTCTTCATGGGACATTCGCCCTCAACATTACCAGGGTCATCTCGCCTGATCTTATACCGCGATGCATGACATACCGGACATGCATCTAACTTCTCATACTCCTCGCCACGGTAGAGGATGCAGTCATTGGGACATGCATGTATCTTCTGGAACCCGATGAGAGGCCGAGGACCCGGAAGCAGTTGCCATCTACTCTCTATACTCATTTTTAATATAATATAAATTTCTCATTTTATAAACAAATAAAATTAAGAAAACTCTAAAATTTTCTATATCTCTAAACCATGAAGTGTGTTATGCATGCTAGAAATGAAAGCTGAATACTAGTTTTGAATAACTACTTTAACCTCCTTCATCCAAATATGCAAACTTTAAAGTGATTTTGAGCTTAAAAGGCTAACAAATAAAAAAAATCTACCATAAAAAACCACATATATCTAGTCCACAAAATGAGATATGGTCCTGATGAAACATGAGAGTATAAAGTTGGTAACCTTTAGAACCAAAGAATCGATGGAGGAATCAAAAAAATCTTGTCATTACCGGCGATGAGGAAGAAAAGAGGCCGGTGATGAAGCAAGAACACTAAGCTCGAAGTGGCTCGGGCTCGGGGAGGAAGAAGGGGTATATTGGAGGGGACCTTTAGTCCCGGTTGGAGACAGCAACCGGGACTAAAGGTCCCTTTCTATACCCGGACGGAGCCTCCAGCCGGGAGTAGACTTGTACTCCCGGTTGGAGGGACCAACCGGGAGTAAAAGCTAACCTTTAGTCCCAGTTGGTAGCTCCAACCGGGACTAAAGGTCCCCTGCAGCAAAAGCCTGCCGCAGTAGCCGTTGGGCAGGGACCTTTAGTCTCGGTTGGAGCTACCAACCGGGACTAAAGGTTTCTCTAGTCCCGGGCGTGAAAAATACCAGGACTAAAGCCAAATTTCAAAGTGGATCAAAAGTCATTTCTCTACTAGTGAGCGCAGCGGTTAAGGCGGCGCACTCTTTACCCCGAGCCCTAGGTTCGAACCCTGTGTAGCGCAGGCGGGCCAAAAATTTTTGTTTTAATTTTTAATAACCTAACTACTTTATTAATAATAAAAGAAAATAAAAAACTAAACCTAATGCAATTACTATCCTAGTGCAGCAGTTAAGGCACTACACTCTGGAGCCCGAGACCCGGGTTCAAACCCTGTACGGGCCAAATTTTTTTAATTTTGTTTTATTTTTGAATATAAACTAACTACACTATAACTAAATAAAAGAAAATAAAAAACTAAATCTAACACAACTACTATCATAGCACAGCGGTTAAGACACACTACTCTGGACACCGAGACCCGAGCTCAAACCTAAGGGTGGGCATAATTTTTTGATTTTTTTAAAATATAGCTATCACTGTAGGTTTTCAAAATGGAACCCACAGTAATAGCTATCATCACTGTTGGTTTTGGCCCATCAGTGCTGGTTCCTAGGAACCGACAGTGATGATTATATATAATTTTCCCTTTTTTAAAATGAATAAATTCACGCATTTTTATTCCTACTGCACCTATGTCCAAATGGCTTGAAATTTTTTTGCAAGCATGTACACTCAAATTATGGCCCCACACAAGATCTTAGGTTTTTCGGATCATTTTTCTTTATTATTGTATTTTTCTTTGTGCTAAACGGGACAAAAGAGTCCTAATTACATGCTAGACACACTGGAATTTTGCATC